GACTTTGGTTTGAAATACAAACCAAGCTTGCATCTCTAACAGCAGAGGACTTGAGTAGTGGGAAAAGTGGACTTGAGTCAAGTAGGGACCACAGCACATTTTTTGTTCCGTCGCTCTGTCGTGTCCGACTCTGCGACCCCATGGACTGCAGCGTGCCATGCCTCCTTGTCTTCCACGATGTCCCAGAGTTTGCTCAAACTCATGTCCACTAAATCAATGATGCCATCCAACCATCTTATCCTGTCATCCCTTTCTCTTCCCGCCTCAAGCTTTCCCAGCATCCGAGTCTTTCCCAATGAGTCGGCTCTTTGCAGCAGATGGCCAAAGCATTGGAGCTTCAGCTTCAGTATTAGTCCTTCCAGTGAATATTCAGGATTGATCTCCTTTAGGATGGACTGGTTTGATCTCCGGGCTGTGCAAGGGACTCTCAAGAGTCTTCTCCAACACCACAGCTCGAAAGCATCAATTCTTCGGCGCTCAGCCGTCTTTACGGTCCAACTTTCACATCCATACATAACTACTGGAAAAACCGCAGCTTCAACTATACGGACCTTAACACATTTAGGGCAGTGAAAATATTTAGTCCTTTGTCCAAAAGCTCAAATTAATTTCTAAGAATTATAGTAGGTGGTTATTTCTTTGTATATACTTACCCCAGATAATCTATAAAAGGATTAAAAACTTAAGTGGCTAATGAGGAATATCAGCTTCAGATATTTGAATAGATATTTTTCTAGGAAAAGAAAATCTACATTTTGTATTTATTCCCCCCCAGCTTTACTGAGATGTAACTGATACACAATATTATGTAAGTTCAAAGTTCACAGTGTGATGATTTGGTACTCCAATGTACTGCAAAGTGATTAACATGATGAAGTACCACATCCCTTACCTCACATAACCACATGTATTTATTTTTAAGGCAGTTGTAGCATGTCAGATTCTTTGCCCTGTGTCTGGTGAGACATACTTTTAGGAGTTGTTCTCATTAAGAAATGCTCCAGATTTGCTCACTTTAAAGACTCCATCCTTTTTAATATTGATTTATAGCGATGCTTGGATATTTAGGTGATAAATAAATGATTGGCATCTCAATTTTGTGGGAAAAAAAATGAATGAGATCACAGAGGAAAAAAGTTGATCCAAAGTATCCATGGACAGAAGAATCTGGGCTATCAAAGTAGCAAATGTATTTAGCCATGGACCTAAAACACTTTTTACTGTGAAAGTAACGCCAGTACGGAAAAACGTGCTGCGCGATGGTGTAGGACGACACGGACACTCATAGGTACCGCCCAAGTCAAGCCTCTCAGCCCACACCCAGATGTTTCTGCTGTCCTGACTTTTATGCTAATCATTTGCTGGCTTGTCTTCTTGGTTTTACCACTTGCATCCCTACCACGGCTTACCTTTGCCTGTTTTTTGAGCTTTCTAGAAATTGAGTCATACAGTATGTGCTCTCTGGGGTCTAGTTTCTTTCATTCAGCATTTGTATTGTGGCCCACAATTATGGAGTGAATGCAGGGTGGGAATGAGCTGCATGTCCATTTTTTAGATGATCAAATTAACAACTCCCACTAATCGTAACCCTATAAAGTTACAGATTTTAGGTTATTACTTAAGTTCTTAGGGGACCTTAGAATTATAATGAGACACATGAAGTATTTAAGAATCCTAGTGCTTGGTACCCCATCCTCCCAAAAAGAACAGTCACTGCCCTGTTTATGCCATTCCAGAAAGAAAACACTTGTGCTGGCTGCATTTCCTGGGATGTGACCTGAGCTCAAGGCTGTCAGCCAGTCCTACCCAGAAGTGCCACTTTCAGAGTCTGGAGTTGATGAAGTATTTCAAGCTAATGGAGTGGGTTTTCTAGAAAACTCCTTAGAGATAAAGTAGGTACCCTTTTAATTGGATATTTAAACATTTAGTATTTTTTTTGCACGTTACCAAGAAGTCTCCATGTGAGTTTTTAGAATATTATGATCATAACACTCTAAACATGTTCATAGGAATGGAGAGTGGTTCTGTGAAAAAGGTAAGCTTTATTTAAAATAATAGCTCAGTATTGGCTCAGTGAGGCTTCTCTCACAGCTCACTTGGTAAAGAATCCGCCTGCAATGCAGGAGACCCTGGTCTGATTCCTGGGTCAGGAAGATCCGCTGGAGAAGGGATAGGCTCCCCACTCCAGTATTCTTGGACTTCCCTTGTGGCTCAGCTGGTAAAGAATCTGCCTGCAATGCGGGAGACCTGGGTTTGATCCCTGGGTTGGGAAGATCCCCTGGAGAAGGGAATGGCTACCCACTCTAGTATATCCCTGGAGAATTCCATGGACTGTATACTCCATGGGGTCACAAAGAGTCAGACCCAGTTGAGTGACTTTCACAGACACATTGGCTCAGTGAATAACTTATGTTCCCAGAATTAGGAACTTAAAATTGTCCTTGGCTCAACATATTAATAGAACTTTTCTGCTACTTCTCTACTGGTAGGAAGCTTGGGTATAGAAAGTATTAACGTAACCAGCTGACTGTCAAATGTTGACAAAGTAATGTGTTCTCACACACACACAGCCTTTAAAATTTCTTTCATTTCCCTCAGTTTTATTGAGATTCAATTTACATATAGCATTATAGGGGCTTCCCTGGTAGCTCAGCTGGTAAAGAATCTGCCTGCAATGTGGGAGACCTGGGTTTGATCCCTGGGTTGGGAAGATCCCCTGGAGGAGGACATGGCAACGCACTCCAGTATTCTTGCCTGGAGAACCCCATGGACAGAGGAGCCTGGTGGGCTACAGTCCATGGGATTGCAATGGAGTCAGACACGACTGAGTGACTAAGTGTGTTGTAGCTTTTAGGTGTACAGCATAATGATGTCACTTACGTGTATATTGGGAAATGATCACAATAAGTTCTATATATTCTTTTTTGCATGTAAGTGTGGGTACAGAGAAATTAGCTCTCATAGCAGTTTTGAAACACATTCATTCATATACAGTGTGAAATGAAGTGACGTGAAAGTCGGTCAGTTGTGTCCGACTCTTTGCGACCCCATGGACTGTAGCCCACCAGGCTCCTCTGTCCATGGGATTCTCCAGGCAAGAATACTGGAGTGGGTTGCCATAGTAAATTCTATTTTAAAAAACTCTACCTATACTTTTTGGCTGATGCCAGAGGTAAGAGCCTAACTTCTTGATTGACTTCCTTTTCCCACCAAGAGTACATCTTACTATGCTAGCCATTACACTATACATTCTTGTACTATATTGAGTCAATTTAAATTTAACTAAGGTCATAATTTAAAAGGAAGATAATACATATTCACAAACCAATTAATCATGATTCCAAAAATCATCCAAGTTTACCTGCACACTGGCTTTTCTCCATTAAGGCAGTAGGGTCCATAGCAAATTTAAAATGCTGGCATAGTTGCTTTCTACTTCTCAGAACTCTTATGACAGCCTTCTGCTGTTATTTCCTTGGGGGTCTGCTCAGAAATTCAAATACATTCTGATATTTTTCCAAGCAAAATATAATTTAAGACAAATCTTTGCACATACCTAAGTTGTGTCCAGCTCTTAGCAGTCCTGTGGATCATAGCCCACCAGTCTCCTCTGTCCATGGGATTCTTCAGGCAAGAACACTGGAGTGGGTTGCCATGCCCTCCTCCAGGGGATCTTCCTGACCCAGGGATTGAACCCGTGTCTCTCAAGTCTCCTGCACTGGCAGGCAGATTCTTTTCCCCTAGCGCCACCTGGGAAGCCCAAGACAAATCTACTACCCCCCAATCACATGTATTAGAGCAAAATAAAAATTATTTGGAGATTTCCCATATTGCTGCTCCCTTCTCTTAGTCCTAATAGTTGAGAATGGACTGTTTATGTGACATCAGTCTTCAGCCATTTATCCAAAGCCAGCAGTAATAGCAACTATCATGCTTTCTGTTCACCCCAGAGAGAGTTTACATGAGCTACAGTCGGCCAGTGGCTGGAGTTTGAGTGTTTTTTGATAGACATGCGTGCACGATTCTTCATGTTTCGAGACAGCTGCATGTGTGTTCTCTTTTCTTCTCTGTCTTGGCAATTAGACTGGACTTGAATATAATGCTTATTTTAGGTGTCATATGCTTCACTCTTCTTTGAGTGAATGTATGTCTACAGCGATGGTTTGCAAGACTAGTATTGAAACAGAAAGTTTGACATTGAATAGTCGAATAAGGAAGACACTTGTAACAGATTTCTTTACACTGGGAAGGTAAGAATAGTTTGCTGTATTTAAATACACTCTCATCTGTATAAATTACTTTCTGAAAACACATTTTAAACATTTATCCTTAAGTTTTCCCTTCTTTTGTGTGTTCTGAAGCACTACTGGGGTTATTTAGATGACAATTGGAGTTTATTACCAATGAGCCTCTAAAAGAGTTAATTTATACTGAATGGAGTTTAACTGCAAATGTATCTATTTCTGGTAAGTGTCCCATTCTGTCTTCAAAGAGGCCAAAATTTGTACAATTTCAGAGAGAAAACTCTCTCTATTGAGCTGAACCCACAGTGCTCTGCGGTGTACTTCACGCCGCTAAGATTCTTAATGCCTTCTTTACTGTCGTATCTGTGGACTGAAGAAAGCTAAGCGTGGGGCTAACGCTTTCCTATATCCTGGAGGCAGAAACGCGTGAAAAGGTGCCGGGGATTTAACCTTTCAAGTCTGCCACTACTAATCGCTGGAAGCTCAGAAAATTCTGTAAAGCGCGTTTCAGCGAACCGTTCACCATATTAGAATCTCTTTTCCTTTGCAGACCCCTCATGTGGCCTTTGTCAATATGCTGTTTGAGACAGAGAGCGATACGCAGAAACTGAAAATGCCCGGCCGATTTCTGTCCCTCCTTTTCCTGCCTGTGTGCGCCTCTGCCTGATTCTGGTGATGTGATAACTCAGACAGCGCCGTCCAAGCCTGCCTTCTGCGAGACCCGTCCGGCCCAGGACGGGAGGCACAGAGCCCGGGATGGCCAGTCAGCCGCCAGAGGAGGCGGCCGAGTCTCAGGTCTCGGACGAGCTGGAGTGTAAGATCTGCTACAACCGGTACAACCTCAAACAGAGGAAGCCCAAGGTGCTGGAGTGCTGCCACCGGGTGTGTGCCAAATGCCTGTGCAAGATCATCGACTTCGGGGACTCCCCGCACGGCGTCATCGTCTGCCCTTTCTGCAGGTTCGAGACGTGCCTGCCGGACGACGAAGTCAGCAGCCTGCCCGACGACAACAACATCCTGGTGAACCTGACCTGCGGCGGCGGCAAAGGCAAGAAGTGCCTGCCGGAGAACCCCACCGAGCTGTTGCTGACCCCCAAGCGGCTGGCCTCGCTGGTCAGCCCTTCCCACGCGTCCTCCAACTGCCTGGTCATCACCATCATGGAGGTGCAGCGGGAGAGCTCGCCCTCGCTCAGCTCCACGCCCGTGGTCGAGTTCTACCGGCCCTCCAGCTTCGACTCGGTGACCACTGCCGTGTCGCACAACTGGACCGTGTGGAACTGCACGTCCCTGGTCTTTCAGACGTCCGTCCGGGTGCTGGTGTGGTTGCTGGGCTTGCTCTACTTCAGCTCCTTGCCCTTGGGCATCTACTTACTGGTCTCCAAGAAGGTCACGCTGGGGGTCGTCTTCGTCAGCCTGGTCCCCTCCAGCCTCGTCATCCTGATGGTGTACGGCTTCTGCCAGTGCGTCTGCCACGAGTTCCTAGACTGTCTGGCACCGTCCTCTTAAGCGGACTGGTGGGCCGAGAGGTCCGACACCCCTTGCCACGTGTCCAGTTAGGTCACTTAGCCTTTGTTTTCTATCACAGTCTCTGTGATCGGCGCCCGTGGCGTGAACAGAGCCCCTGGGCATATGTCTGTGGTCCGTTTTCCATCCAAATGTTGACTGGGTGGGTTTTCCCGTATGCTGGAAGTAACATGTGCGTTTCTACTTACGTGTTAGCAAAAAAAGAGACAGGGATCAGCTCAGCCTTCTAGGGCTTTTCTCCTGAGTCTTCCCAGAGACAGGGCAGCCGCCACTCAGAGCTGCTCGACGGACCCCGGGGCCTGACGTGTTGTGCCGCGGCAGCCGGAGTCTTTGTGGACGGTTAGGCATGAACTGGCTCCTCTTATCATCTTAGCCTGGGATGGAGGGTAGACCCAAGAAGGGGGACAGCCCCAGGGCACACCCGTTTGCACAGTGTACACCCCTGCCCCCGGCCCACAGTTGGCACGTCCCTGGATCCTTTCCAGTTCAGATGCTGGTCCCTCCGTGCGTGGTACTTGCCAAGAGGAACCCGGCCTCTTGCGTGGTTTCAGTTATAAGCCTGTTTTGTCACATTACTGTAGAGAGTTTAAAATGCCGAGGAATCTGCATCAGTAAACCTCAAGGCAGAGTGTGGCCACTCATTTTGGACACACACCCTTTTTTCCTCCATGTTTTTTTCCACTCTCCAGGTTTCTCTGAAATTCTCTCAGAGCAGTTATTGTTCATGGAGACCCAATTTGAGCTTTTCCTTAAAGCATTTTAGTTTAGTTTCTTCTTTTTTTTTTAAAAAACGAGGTTGTTCATTCAGCACCATCCTTTATCCTGGGTGGGGTTCCATTTAATTAGTTGCTATAACTATATGTGGATTTCAATTATTTTTTCCCATTTCATTTTAAATTCTAGTATGGACTCACTTAACTTAATCCTGTAACAATTTGGCGTAAATGTGGCAGTGGAAACCCAGGAACAGTTCAGGAGCTGTTCCAGCTCATGGTTTGATGTGCTGAGAACTGGAGTATTTTGCTGTGTTGTAATGAGCTATACCAAAATATAATGGCTTAGGTTTATGTGCAGTTGCTCAGGCAAAAGGATGGGCAAGAGAGATGTCAAACTGATGCCCTTCAAGGGAGTCTATAACAAAATGGAAGGGCAGAGTACAATCTACCATTCTGCCATCCCTGTTAAGTCCCTTTTAGAATGGATTCAAGTTCTCATGCAATTTATTTCAAATAAAAGCATAAGCTTATGTGACTTGAGTTAATGAACTTCTTTTCATGAGGTAGGGGACATTGAGTGTATATATTTATGAGAAGAAATTGGTTAACAGATTTTAGGTTTGAGGGAATAGAATGCCCACAGAAAGTAGCCCTCCCCCCAGAAAAAAAGCTTTTTTAGCTTAAAACTCATTACTGATGGTAAACATGTAAATATTCATAACTCTTAGAAAAGGGCATTACTAAGGCTACTTATTTGTGATGAAACATTTATTCGGTGAAAGACAGTGGACCAGTTCCAATCTCTCTGTTCAGGAAAAATTGATACTTTTCTAAACAGTAGTTTGATTTTAATTCTGTAACTGTTAACTTGGAGACTATGTATGCCCCGAGTAAATATGACGGGAAAGTATATGTGGGATGTGGCCCAATGAATTTAAGCCCCGATATAGCCTAATACACTTATAATTTCCCGAAATCTAGTTTAGATGGCATTGTGAATGCAATTTCCAAATATCCATTTGTACTTAGAGTAAGTAATGTTTAGGAGGTGTTGTGTGGTTTGGATTTATGTATTTATAAGGTTTTTTAAAAAGCATTCATTTTGCCTGAAATGTAACGTCAGATGAATTGGTGAGTTGTCAGAGGGCGAGATTTCTAGAAGGCTCTGGATGTGGGCATATGTATTTTGCTTATTTGTGTAAGGTCCGCAGTGCTTAGTTTGTGCCTCTGTATTGCAGTAGTCTTTTTTCTTTTTTTTTTTTTCCGGTTGCCAGTAAGTTAATTTGGTGTTAACCAATTTTAAATGTATGACAACAAAAAACCCTTCATGATGTTGAATGAAAAAAGGACAGTGCTTCAGTCTTTTATTTATTGTGGTGATGTTTTATTTGTCCATTAAATTGTTATTATTTCCAAGCTAGAAGTCTGATTTTTCTGACTGATGGTTGAAATTCAATCATTTTGGACTTTGTTTAACATTAGATAATTGCACACTTGAGCTTTCAAAGACATTGATTAAGCTAATGCCTTTATTATACAAATAAAGATTCTAGAACTTTCTGACAAAGCTGATCTACTTATCATAAAAGACCTTCATGCTTTTTTTTTTTTAAAGAAAAGGACAAAAGTAGGAAAGATGAAATCAAAACTTGTCTTTATAATAAATTTTTTTGGTTTTAATTTGCTTGATTTGTTTTCCAGACTGCCTAGCTGCTGAGCAAAATGGAATCCATTTTGGTTGGGAATTCACTAACCTTGTGTGATCAGTACAAATTTAAAAAATGTACCTGATATTTAAATATGACCAGTGTTAGGCAAGGTCACAGTAATTTGGGAACATGTAGCAGTTTTATGCTTATGATGCTTAGTAAATTGGCACTATATGTTAATCTAGAGTCATGGCTTCATTCATTTCTGAAATCTACGTAAATGAGGAAAGAATCGGATTAAGGGAAACAGTTACCTGTGCTTGTCATAACTTAAGGATGTGAATTTATGCTCATCTGCTGAGAGACTCACTGAGAGTAATCAACAGTCAGCCTTTTGTTACATTTGTTTTTGTTCTCTCTCCCTTGAAAATAAAGTCCGTGGGATTCTCCAGGCCAGAATACTGGAGTGGGTAGCCTTTCCCTTCTCCAGGGGATCTTCCCAACCCAGGGATCGAACCCAGGTCTCTTGCATTGTGGGTGGATTCTTTACCAGTTGAGCCACAATGGAAGCCCAAGAATACTGGAGTGGGTAGCCCATCCCTTCTCCAGCAGATCTTCCCAACCCAGGGATCAAACCGGGGTTTCCTGCATTGCAGGCGGATTGTTTACCAGCTGAGCTATCAGGGAGGCCCCAAGAATAAGGGACATACTTTAATTTGACTAAAATATCATTATTGTATCTAAAACACTTAAAAATACTTTTCTAATATCATTTAATATGTGGCCTACTCAAATTTTTCAATTTGTTCCCAAAATACCTTTCATCATTTGAAACACAAATTACAAACCAGAATCCCATCAAACTTCACACATTGCATTGGGTTGTTGTGTATCTTATTCTCTTTTATTCTGGAACAGTCCCCCACCTTGTTTTCCCTGTGACATTGACTCAAAAAAGCAAGCCAGTTAACTTGGACAATGCCCCCACATTCTAGATTGGACTGACTTTCTGACAAATGGTGATATTTAACTTCTCCTGTCACTTGTATTTCCTGTAAACTAAAAGTTAGGCTTGGAAGTGTGATTGGATTCAGATTTGGAGCAAGAGTTTGTCTTAGGATGATGGCATCTACTTGGAGTTGCATCCCATCAGGATACATGAGTGGAAGTTTGCCCCATCGTTCGAAATGCTGACTCATCACTCGGTTAAGGGGGTAACCTCCAGGTCTCACCATTTCCTGTGTGCAGTTAACACAACATAATCTGTGCGGTGAATTTTGGTACTATGCAGATAGCATTTTCCCTAAAAAATTTTACCTGATGGTCTTAGCATCCAGCGAGGATCCTTGCCTGAATCAATTATTTCACTTTTCTCACTAATCTAATCCAGTGAGAACTGACTTCTCTTTCACTGGAGGTTTTCAAGAGAAGCTGGTCCAGTGCTTCTTGACAGGTGTTTGGTGGAGCAGAGAGAATCATGGAAGCCTGTCTAAAGCTTTGGTGAATCTTAAGGTTGGAATGTGTCATTACAGTCATCTGATTATTGAAGGAAGAAACAGAAATGTATAATAATCTTTTATCTCCCAAGGTGTCTTCTATGAGCTCAGAGAAGAAGAAACCCAAATAGTCCGTGAAACAACATTTTTTTAAACTTGTAAATAACGCACTTGACTCTAACCTCAGACTTTCAATGAATGATACCACTTGGGTTTCTTAACCACCCATCTGAAACATGTCTTTACTTTCTACTTAAGTTGCTTAACCAGCTCTCTAGTTATCTTTCAAATCATGTTTGGTCTTTGTGTGATTTTTCTCTTTTTTGGCTTTAAACAACAGAAGTTCATTCTCTCATGGTGCTGGAGGCAAGAAATACGAAATCAAGATGTTGTCACAGTTGTTCCCTTTTGGAAGCGTGAGGAGGATTGGCCCCATGCCTCTCTCCTGGCTTCTGGGGGCTGCTGGTAATGTTGGGGTTCCTTAGCTGGTAGCCACATCACCCCAGTCTCAAATCTCTGCCTTCATATGGTGTTTGCTCCATGTGCCTCTCTGTCTCTTCTTGCGGACTTGTGGGCGGGAATTCTGTTTTATTCATCTCCGTATTCCCAGTGCTAGACTCATAGTAGCTTCTCAACACTGTGTAAGTGGGAGGAAGGAAAAGGGTGGGAAATTTCATGTGCAGACTTGCCTAAGGTTCTAAGAAGTGGGAGCTGACGGGGCTGCAGACTTTGGGAATCCTTTCCCACACAACCTTTGATCTCACCTGATGTTCCCAGAGCTGTGAGAAGTAACTGGCTACCACAAACAGCCTAGAACCAGGATGTGAGAAAGAGCAGGATAACAGTTCCCTGACCAGCTCTGTGTGACCTTGGGTGAATCTCTGGATTTTAGCCAGCTTCCTGCTCTCAAAATGCCAGTGCCACGCATGGCCGTTGGGTTACTGGAGCAAACTTCTCCCAGAATCCTCCTTGCTGGAATCCATCTTGGCTGAGTGACGCCTGTGATTTTCCTTGAGTCCCGTCCCTCGGTCTTCACCAGGTCTTCTTGAACTCTTCATTTCAGACAGCTCGTTTTCTTGTTATTCTAGTAATCCGTTTCACTCCTCAGTTTATTTCTCAAAATGATCTTGTTTGGTTAGTATAACCCCTTGTTTTTTATCTGGCCATTCCCCTCCTCAAACCCCTGTAGGTGGTGGGTTCATTCATAAAGTTCACTGTGTGCTCCCAGCCTTGATACAGTTCTGGCACTTTGTCACTCTTGGCTTTAGATTTTTCAACCCCTTGAGTGGTAGATGAAATGCTTGCAGAGCTATTATCAGTTCCCATAATAGATTCTATAGTCTATAGATAATGTTTTTAAATGTTTATTAAGTATGATTTGTAGGTAAAATGCATGCTGTATAATCCTAAACTTAGTATCTTCCCCTGACTCTTGCCAATACAGTTCTAATTTGGTTGAGCCAAGCATGAATTATCTCTTGGGTAATAAATTTGTGCTGGACTAGGGTCAGGTCATTCTGAGAGTTGGCTTAACATTTCAAATTCCTCTTGAGTAGTTTAGAATAAATTAAGCTCTTTGGTGTTCCATATCTATAGATAAGAAAGCTTAGTGCCTAATGTGGAATTTGAAATGAATTAAAGTAACTTCTGCTATGAAATGTTATTTTTAAAACTAAATAATGTTATTAGTCAATAAATGGACATCTGTTTTTGTAACATGCTGAGCCAAAACCTCCTGCACTTTTCCTTTTTTCCCATTTCCTCTGATTTCTGTAATGCCATTTATGGAAGAACGTACTGTTCTTCACTGCCACTGCCCCCCCTTGCCATGTCTTCTGCACATGCATGTACACACACAGACACACACACACACACACATACATGCATACTAAGTCTTTACAT